TCGACTCCAGATACACGACGCCCAGCTGGAAACACTTCAGCTACCCAAGATTCACAGAATTTACAGAAAATGTTACATTTTTGTGATTTATATAGTTATCGGACGATAAATGTTTTATATCAGGATATGAGATTTTGGTCATATCGCACAGCCCTAATGCAGCTTATAAAGAAAAAGACCAAGAAATATATGTATTAGTCTTTTAGTTTTAGTTTTTGCCATCTGACTATTTGCAGGGATATAAAGGAAGAACACAATAAATGTAACTATATGTCTGTGTTTTAATGCGTGCGTGACGTGAACAAGTCTCGCAGGCCACGCAAAAACCACTTGCACAGCAGGTTTGTGCCAGTAACACAACATGATGAGCAATTATTCCTTCTCCCATGAAAAAGCTGGAGTACTGCAAGAACTCACTCAAGGGAGGAAGAACAAGCAAGCAAACAAACACAGACAGGCCACATCCAGCAAAGGGAATTTGAACACAGGACATTTTCACTATGAGGCAACAGTGTTAACCACTGCACCACTGTGGTCAAACTTATGCTATATCATGCTCCCAAAATTTAGAAGTCTGACGGGGAAACTCCAACAAATGCAACAAAAAATACTGAGCCTACACCTTTCAGTTGTAAAACTGACACCGTGCCTCTGGAGTGAAACCTGACACTCGTTCTTTAAAGTCAAAACAGGGTTTTGCACTGGTGAAGGCAATGTAGGCCCCTAATATAGGTCAAAGAGTGTGTTCTTGTGGGACGATGTTGGACAATGTTTGACAATATATTTGACAATTGCCCATTATACTTGCTGCACTGGTCAAACAGTGACATCACCACAGCTTTGTACCATTTACGAGTACTCGCTGCAGTGCTGTACGTAATAACAGATGTCGCCACTAAGACATAACCACATCAGCACTGGTATGGGAGAAGTCATCAAAAATGGTGACTAGAGTAAATAATTAATTAAAAATGAATTACACAATCATCTTAAACAAGCGCCATCAGCTGTGGCACCTGTTCAAGGTTACAAAAAGTGAGAGGTGAAAACCAGCAGATATATGATGTCACTTT